TATATATATATATAGTTGCTATTATTGTTTTACTCAGGCTTCACCAAGAACTTACATAGTACAATGATAGACCTTCAGTTAGATACTTTATTGGTATATATGTATATGTTTATAATTTTTTTTGAAAGAGATTTTTGCTATAGGGTGTGTACAATCACTAGAGAGACAGAGAAAGACAGAGAAACAGTAAGTGAGGAATCACCCCTGAGGGGATGGCCATGCCACAATCCCTTCTCTTCCATTCTCCTATTGGGCTGTCAGGCATGCACCTACCCAGTGTGAGTTTTAAGCCACTGGGTCCAGGATTCAAACTACAGACAACTACATGGGAATCCAGCAACATAACCATTTTGCCATCTGCTGGTCCCTATTGGTATATTTGTATGATCAAAATGAGTGCTTGATAAACTTGCTTTAAAACATTCCAAGCTAAAATTATCATTGCCATATTCTAGGAGGTAAAACTTCAGAAAATCTATAATCTACTTATTTATACCAATTTAGGAAAATTGCAGCAGTCAGTCATTGCTGTGTAATAAGTAACTCAAACAGCTCAGTGGTGATTAACTAAAACATCAGTTTTGCTCACGTGTCTGCGAAGTGTCTAGGGCAGTTCTGCCGTGGCCTATGCACATGGATTAGCTCTGTTTCATGCTGCAAGTTCATAGGTAGATTGGAGCAATTCTGCTCAACACATGTTTATTCTGAAGCCCAGACTAAAGGGGCAGCAACCTATCCCAAAAAAACCTTACATAGTGATGGCGTAGGCATGAGAGAACAAAGAAAACCATGCAGGGCTCCCGAAGGCTTAGGTTCGGAACCATGCATCGTGACTTCCTTTCAAGTCAGTGGAATGGCCAACTTCACTTTTATTGGGAGGAACTAGGTATTATACAAAGTCATAGGGCAAGCTCCAAATTGTAAAAAAGTGACAAAAATTTGAAGCCAGCAGTACAATTTTCCACAATAATGTTTAAAGGGTCTTGGCCTAACTGTTGGGAGAGACTCCCCAGACCTGCTTCCATAGACATGTATCCTGGTTTAGTGTTCTCATACTTTCCTGACGGGACATAAATCCCTTGACTGGTTCACTGTTAAAGTTTATGGTTCTGTCAACAAACAATAATATGGAATGTCTGCACTTTAGTTACCAGACAGAGTATATCTTTGAATTATGTGCATATTCATAGTGAAGAGCCTACAAATATTTTATTCTGTATCGAGAGATTATAGGGAAAAAAACCCTTTAGTTAAATTAAATGCAGATGATTTAGTTATGCATTAAATTATAGTTCAACTAAATATGAACTTTTTAAAAAAAGAAAAACAGGGACCAGCAGTTAGCATAATGGCTATGTCACTGGACACCCATGTAGTCGACCATGGTTCAAGTCCCAGACCCGTTGGCTTAAACTCACACCAGGCACATGTGCATGCGTGTCCAAGATCCCGAGAGGAGAATGGAGGAGAAGGGATTGTGGTGTAGCCATCCCCCCTGGGGGGTGATTTCTTGCTTTATGTCTCTATGTCTCTCTGTCTTTCTGGCGAGCGCACGTGCCCTATAGCTAAAAACCTCTCTCAAAAAAAAAAAAAAAAAAAGTACAAGGAAAACATAATACCATGAAATTTGAATGGAAGGCTTTGGGCCCCATGAGTATAATTCCATTTTCCCCAAAACTTTTTGAAGTCCCCTGGCATGTGCTTGAATAGTAACAAGCAGCACTTTCCATGGATCAGGTACTGTAGAGAGTGCTTTCTGTATCCTATTAATTCATCCTCAAAACAGCCCAGTGAGGAAGGCAACTATACCCACTTACAGACAGGCATTTCTGCAGCACAGAAAAGACCCACAGCTAGGAAGTGGCAGAGCTGGGGTCTGACCTGCCTTCTCAGTGGACCCCGATGCTCACTGCCATGTGAAATAACTGTATGGAGGAAGAAGCAGCAGCTAATATCTGGAGAAGAAAACTTGGGGAACTTAAATTGTCTGTATTAACATGTTTGTGTCATTTAAATTTTTATAACAAAATACTACTCTTGTCATACTCCCCCAAATCAGGTATAAATTGAAGAGGAGGGGGTGTGAAACACTAAACAGTTGTCTGAGACCACTCTTCGGAATTCAGTCTTATTAGCAGAAGTTCTGTAGGAAGCCACGTTTCACAAGCCATCTACAGGGTGCCTATCGCCGCTTCCTCCTAGCCAGGTGTTTGATGTTCGCCCTCATGCTCGTTGGTTAGTTAGTAAAGCTCTCTGACTTCAGGTAACTAACTCCTGCTTTTCTCCCTGTGGCACTCCGTAAAACACAGATTTCATGACTGCTTATTCCTCCAGCCTACAGTCTAGCTGAAGTTCCAGCTCAGGATCCTACGATTTTGCATGTCATTGTTTGCTGTTACTCTAACCAGCAGTAGCATCACAACTCTGGCCAGGACATTGTGGTCGTCTCTGATAGGACTACTGTGCAGGGGGGACATGATATCTTAGGTTCATGGCTGATACCCCCTTAACAAAAGACAGACTAATAAGAGAAAAGTATACAAATATATTGAATGTAACTTTCACATGACAGCGCACATAATGACAAACAGAGAAACCTGTGTATTTTTTATGGTTCGGTCATACGCTTTTAAGTGTGATTGGATAAAGGGAGAATAAGCTAATTGTGTTACGATATAATAAACTGGGGGACGTAGCAAGGCCTGTTTGTGCAGATTCTCCTCTGTGTCCCTGTGTCCTCAGAAATAAGGACGTTCCTTTACTCTCATTGCTGAGTGTGCACCTTTCACCTGAGGGTCTTAAGAGCTACCTCAAGGGGAGTTCAGTAGGTTTCATGGCCTGGTACAGGGAAGAAGAGAGCAGAGGGAGGTGATGATGACCTTCCTACTGCTTTTTTTTTTAAGAGAGTTTTTGTTTGTTTGTTTGTTTTTGTTTTTGTTTTTTTGCTATAGGGCGTGTACACTTACCAGAAAGACAGAGAGACAGAAAGCAAGAAATCACCTCCCAGGGGGGATGGCCACACCACAATCCCTTCTCCTCCATTCTCCTCTCGGGATCTTGGGCACGCACGCACACACACCCCGCATGAGTGTAAGCCACAGGGTCCGAGACTCGAACTGCGTTAGACTACATGGGAGTTCAGCAACATAGCCATTACGCTAACTGCTGGTCCCCCTGCTGTTTTCTTACACATTAAGGTGCAATATTTTGGGGTAGTATGTCTTGAACTTCATGAACTATTTAATATCTTTTTCATTTCAGGTAAACAACACCAGCCACAGAGCTAACTTATGGAGGTGAGCCTTAAAGCAATAGCAACATTTCAGACATTTTAGAACTATTATAGTATTATAAAAATTGTATTAGAATATAAGAGTTATAAATAAAATAACATTTTTCTATTTAAAATTCCTATACTATAATACAATTCTTATAATACTATAATATAATCCCTATAATAATGTACTATGCAACAGTACTTCAAAATGTTTGTGGAGAAGTGGAATTATTTTGGCGAAAACATTTTTAAAATTCATGCTTAGTTTTTCATAATGTGTATTTCCATGAACCTTTTGAAAACCCCTTATACGATACTGTTATAAACCATTCGTATATGACATATATCTGTAATAAATGTTAGCACAATAACAGCTTCCGTGTATTGGATTGTCGGAAAAGTCATGATGTATTCTTTTGTGTGTTTTTCTATACAAAACATGTCATGACTTTTCCGATGACCCAATATGTGTGTGTATAAGATCCCAGGTAAAACTTCAACTTGTGCAGTTTTATGGATAAGTCCCATTCTCCCCCATCACTGCAAGGAGTCCATGGAGAGCTTGACTTAGAACAAGTCCAGCCTTTCAAACATGCCCAGACATGTTAGAGCAATGCAATTATCCACCACTTTTAATTTAGTGAAATTAAGTATGTCTTTTACATGACATAGGTATAAAAAAGAAGGGTGTTTCTTCTGCTTTCTCCAGTAAATCCTTTATTTGTATGTTTGTCTCTATGTGTTGTCAAATATTAGAAATTACTAAATGCCCTGGGACAGAAAATGGGTCCCTGATTGGCCTTACTTTCTTAGTATTTTAGTTTAATGGTTTAATTCTGTGTTCCATCCTTTTAATTTATTCTTCTGATTCTGAAATCTGGTGGTCATCCAGCCATCTGACTACTAAGACTTATTTTAAAGTGTAACATTCCGAGGAGAGGCAGACAGCTTCCTGTTTATAGATTTGCAAAATAGAATAGGGCTGTGATGAAAAGATTGATAGAAGAGAATGGAATATATCTAAACAGTGTGCTCACTAAGTTTCTTCACAAATGCCTTGGGTGCTCGCCCCAGCATCTGACTCAGAGCAAAACATTCTGCCGCCTTCACGTACACAGAGAAAGGATCTGGACTGACCACAGGAGGATGCGATTGTTGGTGCCTATTGGGAAAAAAAGAGACATTGTTAATACTTCATTTCCAAAATGTCATCCAAAACTTAATACTGGGATGCCAAAAATTTTCAATGACATCATATCACACTACCCAATTGCCCAATCATGCTACTTAGTTTCTCTTTCCTTGTAACTTCAACTTGAATTCTCTGTTCTGTTTTTCCACCATTTTTTGAAAATAAACGTGCAAGCGAATCACCAAAAGTAAATTGTTACATTTTCCATCTCTCTAGAGTCAAGGAGGTGCTGTCTGTTCCCTTTTTCCACATTATTACTGCTGGGAAGAACTAGGAGGGCTTTTTGATTCTTTTTTCTTTTTCTTTTGGCTATGGGACATATGCACTCAAGAGAGGGAAAGTGAGAAGCACCCACTGGGGGGATGCCACGCCGCAATCCCTTCTTCTCCACTCTCCTCTGGGGACTTTGGGCGTGCATGAACATACATACACCTGGTGTTTTTCAAGCTGCTGGGTCCAGGACCCCAACAGCACAGTCGGCTATGTGGGATCCAGCACCTTAACCTCCTCGCCCACTTTGATTCTTAGAAGTAAAAACAATACTTGGAATTTCAGCATCTTGGTCTTTTTCTCTAAGGTGCACAATAGTCTTTTTTACCTTTCCCAAGAATTACTGTGTGAGAGTTTATCTGATGAAGACACTAATGACAATGCATGGGGAAAGACTAGTATTTGGATACATTATCAGGAAAAGAAAAAGGAGAAACCTGCAGTTTCTTTCCCCCAGCCCCCACCCCCCATCCTTAACAAATATGGCAAGAAGTTCCTTATACTATTCAGAGAAGAAATGGAAAGCGACATTTATGAAAAAGAAAAAGAAATGGATGCTGTTCAAGCTCAGAAGACTCTGGACTTTGATAAAATTTTAATATAAACAGTTTGAGGGAACAGGGGATTTCAAAGCAATTCTGAATGTTGGAAATAAGCCCCATTTCTATGAGAGTACCATTGGCGAGTACACCAAGTCAACTTCTGCTTTCAGAGAAACCAAAAAGCCTTCCATTACAGTCCCTTAGCCACCCCACTCTGGTCCATCTGAAAATCTGTAGTGTATCTTTTCCCCAGCCTAAAAAACGAACAACCAAAAACCACCCCCAAGTGAAATAACAACAAAAAACTGTCACCAAAGGAACATTCTATTAGATATACTGTTTTCCAGCTAATTTTTTTTTTCGCCCAATTACAAAAATAAGATTTTCTCATAGATTCCATGTCTGAACATGTTGTAAACATCAGAGAAACACTGTAGATGAACATGCCTTTAAAAGTGTAAAGATTGGAAAAAAAAAAAAAAGTGAAGAATTGGGCCAGCAGCTGACGTGGTGGTGACGGCCCTGGATCTCACACAGCCAACCCCAAGGTTTAAGGCTCGAACCCCGGGTCTTGTGTGTGTTACATGCCCAAAATCCTGAGAGGAGGATGGACAAGGGATTGTGGCCTGGCTATCCCCCCAGAGGTGAGTTCTCATTTTTCCTTTCTGTCTGTCTGTCTGTCTCTGGCAAGCACACATGCCCCACAGCAAAAACTTTTTTTGAAAAATGTATTTGCCAGAAAAAGAGAGAAAGAGGTTGATATCTTATGAGAAATTGGCTCATGTGATTATGACACTAAAAGTCCCCTGATCTGCTTGGCATCCCTGATCCCAGAGTCCCTGGGGGTACGGGGAGGAATGGGGACAGGCAGATAAAACTGATATTGTCCCTACAAGGTAGGGCTTCTCTATCTGTAAACACACTTCCTGCCATAATCGCATCCTTTTCTACAAGACAATCATTATTCTAGAGTGTATACTAACACGACGTCAGTCGATTAAAGGGAAAGCTTACGAATATCAGGCTTTCCTGGCTCTTTGTTTTTTGTTTGTTTGTTTTTGAGAGATTTTTGCTATGGGGCAAAAATGTTCACCGGAGAGACAGAGAGAAACAGAAAGAGAGAAATCACCTCCCAGCGGGGGGATGGCCACACCACAATCCCTTTTCCTCCATTCTCCTCCTGGGATTTTGGGCATAAATGCACACACGCCCGACGAGAGATTTAAGCCACTGGGTTTAGGACTCGAACTGTGGTCACTACGTGGGAGTTCAGCAACATAACGGTTATGTCATCTGCTGATCCCCAAGATTTATTGGTTCTTTATCATTTGTGGATTTTCAGTGCCCAGGTGCCCTCAAATAATATCCTGCCTCCAGTCTTCCAATAGAAAGTCCATTTCCTCTCTTCTGTATGTTCTCTGTGACCACTAACGTCCCCTCACCTTTCTTCTGCTCTGTGGTTTGAGGACTGCTTTGTGCCATCTGCACCAAAGTGATCTACCTTGCCTTCTGGAGGGCAGGTGAGGACATGGTGCACAGGAGGAGGAGCTCAGGGATTGATCTCCTGCCTCCTCTCCTGCAGATCCTTCACCCGTGCACTGCAGCCTCCTGCCAGGACCACAGCTCTGGACAGCAGTTGTAACAATCCAGGCTCTGGCAGCAGCACCCTTCAGGCCCACGGCCATAATGACTCCGCACCGTTACTAACCCCAGGGTATGGCAGGGTGCAGCTTCCCGAAACCCTGCCTGACTTCCATAAATAGGATCTTTATTAAACTCTCCTCAAATTACCCAGATTGAGGTGCAGTTTATTTCCTGCAGGACTCGATTGCCAACACCATTCCATAGCAGATAGGTCTCAGCTCGTGTGCCAACGCTAATCCATTGGTAGAGGCCGCGTGTGGCACTCTTTGACATGGATTATGGGCCACATCGAGAGGTGTAGTGAGTGAGGAGTGGTGATCAAATTGGGTGCAGGGTGGAGGAAGAGGAGCTTTCATGCCAGGTGCTGGGAATCCTTGTTCTGGATTTCAACACTCATGACCACCTTGTGCCCAGATCCTCAGGAGATTGAAAACCAGAAGTAGGCACACGAGGAACAAAGCGAAGGCTGCCAGACTACTGCAGAGAGGGAGACTGAAAGGAGAGCTTGAAAAGTAAACAGACGCACAAACAAGAGAGAAACCGGACATGCAAATATTATCAGGATCCAGGTCAATCTAGAGGCTTCCATCCGCTCCGGTAAGTGTGATCTCTGTCAATCAAAAAGGTTATTTACGTTGACATGCTTTCTTTGAAAAAGGCAAGAAACACATTCTAGCAAGATTTCTACCCCAGAGGACTGTAATGGTGATCAGTTTTCTGAAGAGCTCTTCTGTCGCAGGCCAGCCAGTTTGAGCTCCACATCAGTCAGTTCTTCAGTGACTAGACCGATTCATAAAAGGTCATCACCCATCCTTCACTGCTGCCATTGCTAAAGTTCCTAACATTCCTGCCTATCCTAAGAGGCCATGACAGCTGATGACGCTAGCCTCACTAGGGATCCAGAGCCAAGGATGCCAGAGGAGTGACGTGGAGGCAGCTCGTCCTGTCGGCCCTTCCCCCGGTACTCAGGGGCCTTGTCTTGCTCTGTGCCCCCAGGCTTGTTGCTGCTGTTCCTTTTTTCACTCCATTGGCACTGACTCCTCAGGCCAGACTTCGTGTTCTATGCAATGTAGCAGCCCGATCATTTCTCCAAGGGTAACAAGCTCACAGGGAAAGCTAAGTGAGCCTTCCGTTCTGAGAACAGAGGCTCAACTTCATGGCACCTGCTGGAGCTCAGTGGCAGCTGCTGTTAACTGAATCTGGCTCATCCAGGGAGCAGCTATTATGCAGTCCACTGTGAACAGACCTCTGTGCTACGCTTTCCAGGGTGGTGCAAACTTGTGCAATCTTGACGAACTTCCAGTTTGGAGAAGAGAACCTTGAATACTAACAACTAAAGAAACCAGTTTGACCACCATGCAACACTGAGCTTCTTCAAAAGCCCTGTCTATGCACTGTCTTCTCTGGGAGCCTCTCTGGACTAGCTCTGAGAACTAGATTCTCCTCCCACAGATAAAGCCGGGTGATCACCAGCTAGAAAGCTATCTGCCTTATGAGTCCACCAGCGATGTAAACTCAGAACCTGACTTCTTTGGGTGCATTTCCTCTTTCATGCCCTATCTCTATGCCTTTCAATGTCTGCTCAGAGAGACCAGCTGAAGTCATTTCTGCAGTGACACATGTAGGGGAGAAGGGAATTCTCCTCTTCCTCTCTGGAGGTTTAGTGTTTGAATCTAAGAAAAATAAACTGGCAGTGGACAGATAATAAGAAAAGAAGTATACAAATTTACTCATCTATATTTACATTTTTTCTGTATCTATACTTTATTTTTTGCTAGGGGGCATGTGTGCTAGCCAGAGGGAGAGGGAAAGGAGAGGACAGCCGCACAAGCACTTCTCTATCTCGACCTCTTTGTGGGATTTGGGGCACACATACACATGCCCACCATGTTTCATCAAGCTGCCAGATCTCGACCCACAGAGTCAGCCATGTGAAATGTAGCTGCCTTAACCACTAGGCCATGGAGCAGGCCCTAAACTTAGCCTTTGTAGTTCACCTGATGTCTCAAAATATAATCCAGATACATTCAATCATTTCACTGTTTCTCAGTTATTTTAGATTTTTTAAAAAAAGAATTATTTTTATTTTAACTTTGTTACTCTTTTCCAGTTTGAACAGAGAGAGAAAAAAAGAAAGCAAGCCACCAGTTATTTTGGATTTAAACTTGATTAGTTATTCAAGAATTTCCCCCAACTCCTCAAAGTAGTATTAGGTGTTTGGGGCATGTCTTAGGTCAGAGTCCCTAGAAGCAGAGCCAGAGGCAAGGATTCTGACACAAGTGATGGATAGAGGGAGGGCTCTCAGTGGAAAGCCGTGAAGAGATGAAGGCAGCTGGATGCCTCAGGGGAAGAAGGTAAGCAGAGATCTTAGCTGAAATCAAGGTTAGCTTGCCAGAAGCCCTGGAGTAGGAAGACCACCACCACATCGACTCCCCTGAGGCAGGGCGCTAAGGTTTCTGTGCCCCATATCAGTCGGTGGTTGGTTCCCAGGGCAGACTGGGCTGAGGTATCTTCCCAGGTAGTTTGGTCAGCTCCCAGTTAAGGGCAATTCTCTGGTAAAAGGCAGGTCCATGAGCTGTTATCACCAGCTGTGGTGGGTGTGCTGGTCAAATAAAGCGAGGTGAGGCGGCGGCACCCAGTGAGTGCTAGTTGGAGTACCCAGGAGGTCCAGGCATTGACCAGGGTCCTGGGTTCGGAATCTGGGTTCTCAGACTCACATGCCAGCCGCGTCTCCCGCATGACCTCCCTCCATCTGGGCAGTGATTCTCTATTCTCTGGAAGGTATTCTTCACCTGCTTTCTTTATAGTGTTAAAGAGGTGGATGTTTCACTTCATGACGTTACATTTCATACCTGAAGAGTTTTTTCTATTGATGTTTAAAGCTAAACTTTTGGAACTAACCCTTTTCTCCACAGACTTAATGTTCTTCTTTCATAACAGTTGTCTCAGCCGTGGGTTTCAAAAGTCTATTCTTGAGACACAAAGTCAAACAATAATTGTTCCTTTCTTTTTGCATTC